GACACAGGGAGAAACAAAGCCATCTGGAAAATAAAAGCATTTTTAGTTTGTGGATGTTAATCCCACTTACCCAAGAGAATTGTGGCTATAGAGTTTATTATGACGAAGAGCTTTCAACCTAAGAAAAATAGAAGTCTGCTATTTTACAGATCAAATACTCAAGCAATAGATATGGAACTGCCCTCCTCCATTTTGCAGATGAGAAAACTATTAACCAAAACTATTGCCTAAGGTCACATAAGTTACAAGTAAAAGAGCTGGGATTCATCTCTATGTCTTCTGACTAAAAATCCATCCCTTTTTCTACTATACCACACTGCCTCTCAAAGATAATAAAATTGATCAATAGAACAAGTATTTTCAAGGTTTGTCTAGTTGCCCATAGAAGCATATTTTTCTTGATCTGGTTACAATCAAATCTAGAACAATAAACATTACTGAATGATCATTCTTAATAAAGAAAAAAAAAAGTGTCTTAATCAAGTCCAACCCACATAATGTTGCCCCAAACAAGTTTGTTTCATGATCACTTTATTAAAAACCTCATATCTGCGCTTAGCCATGATGTCCTGAAGCCCTCCTGTAACAGTATACTGCCAGTTGTCCATTAGTGACTTTGTTCTTAGCACATTAATTGTATCCTGAAGCTTTTGACTAGTTAGTAAATAGGCGGGGGGTCTTCCTATACCTGACTGTGATTTATTTGCAGAGTACTTCTCCTTTGTTAGTTTCTTATCTGCTTCCCCAGAGAGATCCCAGCACAGTATCATGGTGCTTGGGTTTGTGCAACATTTAATTCCATTCTCCAGTATTATTGGTTGAATGGAGATGAAGTATAAGATGTATTGATTACCAATTTTGGTTATCTTATTTCCTTGCCCTCCTCACCTTTAAGTGGGAGTTGAGTTGCCCAGGACACTGCTTAAATTGTAGAGTTATAAAGCTACCCAGTAGTAACAGAAAGGGAAAAAAGAGAGAGTCAACCAATCCTTTTCAAAGAGGAGCCTGTGAAGGCCAGCAAGAGGAATATGGGAAGAGCAAGCAACCAGCCTTTCAGCTGCCTTAGTCTTCTCCCTTCTTCCACTCCAACCCATTTCCTTGAAAAAACATGCCACAACTCCCAAACCACCACTTTCACCCCACAACAAACACTACAAAGGCAAAGAATCAAGAACCAAAGAAGCAAGGAAAGGAGGAAGGGTTGGGAAGAAGTACTGTTAATTTGTTTAAAGGTCTTCTCTCCCTCCTTCCTTCTCTGTATTCGCAGTCTATAACATAATTCATTAATTTGGGTCAGCTGCTGTTTTCTTTGTCTCACCCCTGCAGTTCTGACCTCTAGAAATGTAGCTCGTGTAGTAACAGCTCACAACAACAACAACAACTTCAAACACCTGTGGATTTTGTTATGCCAGAATTAGTGTACATGTTCAATAAAAAATGTTGATATCACACCAGAATGAGCTGTGTCCAAAATATTTTCTCAAAGCCAGAGTTCTGCTCTGAAGTGGTGCACAGTCAGTGTTTGGAGCACCAAAGACCCTCCAGGAATGCTGAACCTCCTAAAGACCTCCGAGGAGTTTCTCTCACCCCAACCATATGTGCTCGTTGATTCTCAGTTTCCATTTCTCCCTCTTAATACTTGACTTTAGAGAAGATGAAATGGGATAGTGTTCCATTACTTTTGTGAGGAGCTACATATCTACCTCACATCCCAGAACAGTACCTAATGCTGCCTTTCTCTCTCAACTCCTTTCTCTTCTTATGGGTGACGATGGCTTGAGAAAAGAGCAGTTAAGACAGAGGAAGGAATTTAATTTTTTTCCCTACCTGTCACTGTTCCTTTTTCTTTCTCCCATTCCATATACTGTCATCTATCTTCTCACTCCTCTGTCTTTTCATATTACTCCCTACCACACAATATATTGTTCCTTCTATAGACCGTGCTTTCTTTTTCTGTTTTCTTTTTTTGTTTGTTTGTTTTAGTCAAATATGGTGTGTAAAAACATGACTATCTCCCATAACCAGTTATTTTTCACTGTATATACATATATATGTATGTTTGTGTGTATTTTCTCCCTCTCTATATGTATATACATGCATGTATGTATATGTGTGTACGTGCATATACACACATGTATATATACATTGACATATATATTCCTTTCAAAGAGATCCTATTTTAGCAGTACAACCTATAACAGTATCAGTTCACACACACACACACACACACACACACATACACACAAATGTAGTTTAAACAGAGTAAGAGAAAAAATTCCTAATAGTCCAGGGTGATATCTTTATCATCCTTCTTAAGAACATGCTCTTGGCTTAGGGCAGAGAAACAAAGAAACCCTTAATGATAAACAACAATAAATTAAGTTTAGAGTAAATTGTAGTCTACCATAATGACTGTGACCTGAAATAAAAGGGGCATAACATTAATCCCAGAGGAGATTGGAGTCCACTCTAACATGTATGCATAAACAGTATTAGACAGAGTGCTATTGTTTGGACATCTTCTGTTTTCACAGGTGGCATATAGTCATCTTAAGAGTCTTCAGCACGACCCATGCCATGAAAAGACAAACAGTACTACAGTTTTGCTGGTTCCAAATTTGAAGCTACTATTTTAAATAAAAACAGAAATTCCAAATCCTTCCAAAGTAAAGCCAAGCATCTTGAGATCTGAACACTCTCTTCTAATTCCTTTCTACCCCTCCAGACTACTTCTGTCGATGTTGTTTCATTAGAAAAATTAATCAATACATGATCTGTTACTAGAGGTCTATAAAAGTTTAGTCTAATATCAAAATCTGTTAAGCAAATACCGTAAATATTTTACAAGCAAAAATGCCTCAGTGTACATTTGGGACCTTAAAACTACATGTCAATAAAAATTTAAATCCCAGATAAAATTTGAGTATAATCTCAAAAGCCAATTTGTATTTATTTTTAACTTCTAGTAAGTTGACAGCTGGGATGTTAAATCTAATGGGAAAACATTTTTTTTGGTATGGAAGCAAACAGAAGTTCTTTTAAAACTGAAGAGAAAAAAGGAAGTTGCTTATATCACTTATCTGAAAGAGCTCAACAAATGTAGCTCCTAAGTGAAGATGGAGTGGCTTCCAAATTGAAAAGGAAGGAAGGAAAGAAATAAGCAAGTTCCTTTGCTAATTTTTAGTTGCAGAAAGAAAATAGAATCATAACAGTTAATTCCTTCCCACCCTTCCAGAATCCAGAAGATTCTTACACACAGTAGATTTAATAAGCCTTGGGGAACTAGGCCTGACCAAACCAGGTTTGACCACAATAGCTTTGTCTTAAGATAAGGACAGACCCAGAGGCTCACTACCTTCCCTGGTGCTTTCCCTCCATAAACCATTCAATCGTTTTTCATACAGTCTTTCTTTAATCAACAGATGAAATTTCTCCCTTGCACCATTTTGCCTTTTGTAACTTCTTCAGGAATTACTTGGGCCCTTTTCTCCTTTCCATCTCACCCATTCCATTGCCCAGTCAATGCTGTATTTTATCCTAACCCATAAAAGCCAACTTAAATCATCCCCTTTCTCTGGGTTAGCCACCTAAACAGGATCTACTGGATGGTGGCTGGTGTGTAAGACCTTCTGGAGAATAGAACATTTGCTCTTGAATATTGTCAAGGGTTTCCTTATTACTTTTTGAATTCAAAATAGGTAGGTCTAGGGCTCAAGCATCCATTCCCATAATGCATAGGTGGCATTTGTCAATGGAGATAAAAGAGGTTACCTGCATTACTTTAGCTCCCTATTGGCTTTTGCATCTCCCCTCCTCACCAACAATGAGTAATGAATCCAAGTCTAGTGACTGATCTTCAACAAGGGGTCATTCTTAGAAAATCAGAGGACTTCATTGAATTTGTGTTAAAGTAATGATTAATATAATCTTGGAAGGAGGATCTCTAAAAATGTTTTCCTGATGTCCTTTATGAAGATATCAGAATCTTGAATTGCAAGTCAAAGTGGCCTCACATCTTTGCGACACTGACTTACAGGTTATGCATCTTGCTCCTTTGTCAATTTCAAAGCCTTCAGAATCCCTAGTGTGATATCAAAAGTAGTATAATTATACACGCTCCAGTCATTCTACCTTTGTCTAATAGGGAACTTGGCTTTGATGATTCTTATCTAGTACCTCCAATGACCATTTGCTGTAAAATTGCCAGGGACCAATACTTTTACTGCCCTACCAAGAAAAAGAAAAAGAAATCTATGTATCTATGTATCTATGTATCTATCTACCTACCTATCTACCCATCTATCTATCTATCTATCTATCTATCTATCTATCTATCTATCTATCTATCTATCTATCTATCTAT